GAGTGCATCTGCCGGAGAGGCAAGGAACAAACAGTCTGTATTCAAGAGAATGAGATCTGTAAAACTGATGCACACGCAACACTCAGGTTCTGGAGCAGGACTGCAGTTCAGTAGTGGACGAGCAACCAGAACTTTCCGCCAGAGTGTACAGCTGGTGAACGCGAAGAAGAAGAAGAAGATAATATGCATATTTTTACGTAAACATTACATACTTTATTAATATAAAGACCATAGCAAAACAAATATTCATTGAAGTTATGAAGTAGCGACCAAAATAATTGTATGGTTGGAGGTAGCCACAACATAAGGAAGTGTATTAAAGGGTCGCCACAACATAAGGAAGTGTATTAAAGGGTCGCCACAACATAAGGAAGTGTATTAAAGGGTCGCCACAACATAAGGAAGAGTGTATTAAAGGGTCACCACAACATAAATAACTGTATTAAAGGGTCGCCACAACATGAGGAACAGTATTAAAGGGTCGCCACAACATAAGGAACTGTATTAAAGGGTCACCAAAACATAAGGAAGTGTATTAAAGTGTCGCCACAACATAAGGAAGTGTATTAAAGGGTCGCCACAACATAAGGAAGTGTATTAAAGGGTCGCCACAACATAAGGAACTGTATTAAAGGGTCGCCACAACATAAGGAACTGTATTAAAGGGTCGCCACAACATAAGGAACTGTATTAAAGGGTCACCACAACATAATGAACTGTATTAAAGGGTCGCCACAACATAAGGAACTGTATTAAAGGGTCGCTACAACATGAGGAAGTGTATTAAAGTGTCTCCACAACATGAGGAACTGAATCAAATGGTCGCGGCATCATGAAGTTTGAGAATCACTGGCCTAGCCGATACATAGATAAAATAGCTAACATATATTACGCTTTGAATTCCTTGACATCCGAAAGGTAACCCATATGTTTTGAAAAAGGCGAGTAATCGAAGACCACTTTTTACGAATTCCAGAAGGAGAAAGTTATCATTTGATAGTCATGTTATGAGAAGAAGGAAACTGGAACATGCTGAGGCCACTAAAATATCTGTGGATAAAGAAACTGAGAAAGACAGCACAAAAAGAATCTTGGCAGCATTTTGTTTGCAAACTGACTGATACATGCTGTTAAAGATCGCAGTTTCTGGACAGACATGATCGCCTACACCAGTCGACAAGGCGCTTGATGTTGATAAAAAGATAGTTGTAAACAAAAGCTGGGCGGGTTAGGGGGGGGGGGGGGGGGGTCAACAACAATTTTAATTTTTACAGCAGTTTCATCTTTTTTTTTTTTTAAATGACCTTGGCTCACAGGTCGATCAAGCCTTATACAGGTACCAGCTAACATCCTAGGAAGTAAAGGCGGCCGGTGTGATGCTGACCACATCACCCACTGAGTACCGATTGGTCTATATAGGTATATACAGGTCTAGCCCTGTATACCTAATAAGCCTAAACATGTGGAAAAGGGTCCTTTACTTTACTTACGATATACCCAATTCACTTGAAGGCGTGAGAAAGGGACGGCACTTTACTTACTTTACTTACTATATACCCAATTCACTTGAAGGAGTGAGAAAAAGTCGGTACTTTACTTACTATACTTACTATATACCCAATACACTTGAAGGTGTGAGAAAGGGGCGGTACTTTACTTACTATATACCCAATTCACTTGAAGGCGTGAGAAAGGGACGGTACTTACCTTACTTACTATATACCCAATTCCACGTGAAGGCGTGAGAAAGGGACGGTACTTTACTTACTTTACTTATTATATACCTAATTCACGTGAAGGCGTGAGAAAGGGACGGTACTTTACTTACTTTACTTACTATATACCCAATACACTTGAAGGCGTGAGAAAGGGACGGTACTTTACTTACTTTACTTACTATATACCCAATTCACGTGAAGGCGTGAGAAAGGGTCGGTACTTTATTTACTTTACTTACTATATACCCAATTCACTTGAAGGCGTGAGAAAGGGTCGGCACTTTACTTACAACACTTTGCACGAAATGTTCCGGGTTGTCTTTTCTCTGAAGAAGCTGCTATAAACATATAGGATGGGCGTTACCAGGGGTAACAATAGATAGCAGGCAAAAACAACAGTACCTGTAAAAAAAAGTAAGTAAAGTAAAGATCCCTTTTCATGCCTTGGGCGCACTGGGTATATAAGAAGAGCATCCTACATTTTTACAGACCAATCGGCACTGGATGGGTAATGTGTTCAGCATTAGGCCGGCTTTCTTTACTTCCCCAGGACAACCATCCTGGTACCCATTTTAGATTGGGTCATCCTGTGACCCCCCATACCCAATAAAAATCCACGCAACAGTACATATATTGGATTGGATTTTTTACCCCACCAGGACATCACACAAGCGATAAACACCCGATGACACAAAGTGCCACCATGCGGAAGAGGATCACCGTGGAGAGGTCCCAGAAACCGCGTTCAGACATTTGGCCATAATGATGACCTGCCTATATTGCGGCCCCTGGTAAAAGCCAGAGTGGGGCTTCAAATAACAAAAAAATAACGTCCTAAGAAGGACGAAAAGTTAGTACATATATTGCCTTATTATTGTATGGAAGACTGCTTTTGTCTGCACTTTTTTTCCCCCTCAAAATGATAATGTATGTGTTCGTGTGCGTGAAACATAAACAAATTATTTTAAATTTTGGAAACCTTAAACAATGATGGTAAAGATCTGAAAATATTCAAAAACATATTCTGGCAACAAGAAGCAGCTATAAGAATTGACAAGTTTGAACTTTTCAAAGGAGAATATACTGATGAAAAGGAAGAATAAGAAGGTGTTCGTGACAGAGGTAATGATGATGAAGCTTTTATTCCATGTCTAAAACGCGAAATTAATCTCTTGTCAAAACCACACAAGTCGTCAGACAGCAACGAACTATTTTCAGATGATTCCTAATCTTTATGACGATTTGCCTTTTCCAAGGTTCCAGGTTTAAAAACACGAAAAACAGTAGCAAAAAGAGTTTAGATAAAAGCAACCCTTGTAGCAACGGTGATATTAGAGTTACAAGGGAGAGAAATGTATGGCGATTCCCACAATATTTTAGTTGTTTCCCCTCTGCTTGTCCGCCATTTCAGAAAATAAACGAGTTTGAAATCTTCGCAACGAAAGATAACTCATGATAAGGAAGACACGAAGCCTATAGTATTCATTTTCGGCATATCGCGGTGGAAAAGCAAATATTTCCTATTTTTGGAGAATTAAGATGAAGTGAGTTCATACATAAACTTGGCCTTTGCTGATCAAGCACTGGAGATATGATGGATAGAAGTGACGTACGAGAGTAGATTTGGAGCGATTGTAGACGAGCCTGCGAGTCCACTTTACGATGTGTGATACAGCAAGACAACGGTAGTCTTATTTTCATGGCGGTGACGTCTTGTTTTGTTTTCTTGCTATCTCCTGAGAAGAAATGCCGGCTTACAAAGTAGGGGATTGTCTGTTGGACGCTGTTTATCTAAGCTTATGTTGGGCAAGCCCACTTTTGATGAAACTATGTGGGAGTCGAGGTAACATAGTGGTTATATGCTTGATGTCGGTTAGAAGTTTTTGGGTTCAAATCCGAAGCGGTTGGATTTTTCATAATTACTGGCTCCATAAGGTTACTAGCAACACAAAAAGAAACATGATTACGAGTCTAGCATAATATATCCGACGAGAGAAACGGAGATAGAAAGAGAAAGACGGGGTGGGAGAAAGACGTGAAAAGTTCACACATACACCCACCCATTAACATTTGTGATGGTAAGTGTGCGGGCATGTGTGGGTGTGCGGTAAAAAGTCTGCATGATGAATTGTTAGCTTTTTGCCCTATACGCTGTAGGTCGTTGGGTCGTTTTAGGACTGCGCGGTTCCGTTAAATAGTGCCAGTTTTTCAGACATCCCTCGGAGATCGTAGATTGAGCTGTAGGTTTTATACTTTGGGCGACATTTACAGCACAGGGTTACCTATTCTGTAGAGAGAGAGAGAGAGAGAGAGAGAGAGAGAGAGAGAGAGAGAGAGAGAGAGAGAGAGAGAGAGAGAGAGAGAGAGACTGGGGCATATTGGAAATAATCTGATACAATGAATTCGATTCTGTAACATTCAAAATAGATTCGGTAACATCGAAAATAGATTCGGTAACATCCAAAATAGATTCAGTAACGTTCAAAATAGTTACGGTAATTTTCAAAATAGATTCGGTAACATTCAAAATAGATTCTGTAACATTCAGAATAATTTTGGTTACATTCAAAATAGATTCGGTAACATTTAAAATAGATTTCCATTACTTTTGTGTGTCCTGGAATGGATGCAAAGTTATTTTTTTATGGTGCAAATGTGAGATGAGAAAAAATGTTGTTAAGAGCAATACAGATTAAAACATAATAAACGAAAACGAATTAACGACAGCAAATTACTGACTAGTCTGTGTGTGCGCACACACCTTTTTATACATTTTGTTGTTGTTGTTAAGTGTTGATGTAATAGACTTTTTGTAATGAGTACCAGCACCTTTTTTAAAGACACTATGTGATGAGTGTTGCCTTCCCCCCCCCCCCCCCCCCCCCCCCCACCTTCCCCTCAGGTGGAAAAAAAAGTCCTGGTTAAAATGTAACATAGTATCTGTGGATCCTGTGAGACATTGGCAATAAGTAGACAAGCTGGACAATTTGGCAACATGGGTGGGAAAAGAACGAGGGAAAGGCAAAGAGATAAATATCATGACGTCTAAGACATATTGATAGGGTGAAACAAAAACACTGACTTTATCAGTAATTGCGGTGAAAAATGTCAGCCTGGCTGCGCTTATCGGTGTGGCACATATGATGATGGTTAAACTAGGGGAGAGTACCCATCATTTAAACTTCCAAAAACAATCAAGAATAACTTCCCTCTACAGTTCCATGTCTACTTGGCAGACGTTGACGTCGTCCGTCGATCAGCTTTTGATTTTTAACATCCAACATGAATTCCTTCCAAGATCCGTCCATTTATAATTTGCTTATTGTTGAGGAATCTAAAGAGAAAAGGCCGCCAAGGTAAGTGTAATTAGAATCAATTAATTCATCAACATCTTGTGGCATTTGCTGGTTCGCATCGCTTGAGGGTAAATTGAATAATTGATGCCTGATGTTTGTTTGTCATGAGTTGCTAACCCTTAGGCTCGGTATAATGGATATCGCAACCTTTCGGCCTTGATGCCATTGTAAATACCGTAAATCTGGGAGAAAATGTGGCTTTCCTGCCTACCCCCGGGATTGAACCCGGACCACAATGAGTTCGTCACCCGGTCTCCGTGCAATCCGGTTTAGCCAATTACGCTAGAGAGCCAGGCTGATGCCTGATAAACTGTGTTCTCTGGAAAAAGAGAGGGGGAGGAGGGGAGGGGGGAGACCATGGAGGCACAAATATATTATTACGATCTAAAGAGAATGTTGCAGCGGGAGTTACTCGGGGATCTAGCCGAGACTCAGCACTCGTGTGAAAGACGAGACTGCCAATGGCTACATGTAAGTAAAGGACCCTTTTCCACGCCTTCAGGCGTGTAGGGCATGTAGGGCTAGACCTATATTTTTTAGACTGATTGGCACAAGATGGGTGATGTAGTCAGCATAACGTCGGCCGCCTTTACTTCCCGGGACTGTACCCGGTATCCACTCAAGGCTGGGTCGACATGGGAGCCAAAGTCATTTTTGACAAAAGTCCGGCTGCGTCAGGGAGCGAACCAAAGACCTTCCAATCCGCGGCGAGCGTCTAGTCGCTTCGCCACGGCGACTCCCATTGGCTACATGTGGCCATCGGAATTGGAACGCCGCGATTGCTGTTGTAGATGAGAACGGTGCGCTTTAGGAATGTCCAGCGTGCTGTGATGTCGGTTCTTAATTCTGCTCAGCTTTTTGTGACGGGGTTCCGTTCTGATAACCTAAACGGAAAATTTTTGATTCGTTTACATTACAGTTAGTTTGTTAGATTAGTTTAGTTTAGTTAAGTCAGTCAGTCATTCAGTCAGTCAGTAAGTCATTTAGTCAGTCAGTCGACATATCCTCATCGCTCATCAGACCATTTACTCCATAAGTGCTCAGTTCCCTTCCTCGGTAAATCTGACAACGTGTAGTAGCTGATGACACCAGTCCTGTGTTGGTTTCTGAATCTTCTTTGGCCTCCTGCATGGCGCTGTTGTCTGGCCACACTCCCTTCAACATGCTGTTTATATTACTGCAAATAATGCGATTCAGTTGCTCGTTCATTCTAGCTGTTAAACCCTTACCGCCACAGGTTACAGGTTACGCCTGGTTGGTGTAGTTGTTACTGGTGACCCATTTATAACTTCGTTGGAGGTTGAGAGAGGTATTTTGTGATTTGATGACCCCTCCAGATTTCGATTTGCTAATCATGGAAACCCTGGCCAACCGTATTGCCATATAGCACGGTTATACTGGGGCACCACGGAACGGTTTTATTAGGGCGCCACAGATCGGTTTTATTGTGGCACAACAGAACGGTTATATTGGGGGGGGGAGGGGGGGTGGGGGACAACAAAACGGTTATATTGGGGTGCCACCGGACGGTTATACTGGGGCACCACAGAACGGTTTTATTGGGCACCACAGATCGGTTATACTGGGGCACAACAGAACGGTTATACTGGTGCACAACAGAACGGTTATAAATTAACCTGTAGTCAAGTGTGGGTGGGTAAATCTAGGATTTGTCCTGTTGCATGGCCATATCGAATACGTTTTTTTAATTTAAATTGTGTACTGGTGTAACAAGACGAGGTGAAATTAAAAAGGAAGAAATTAGAGCAAGACTAGGCCTGAAACCAGTCATACAATTTATTAAAGTGCATGTGAGATGGTTTGGCCATCTGAGGAGAATGTCACAGAGAACCACGCTAAAGACATTCAATAAACATAGAGCAATGGAAGTCCACACATAAGAAATAAAGATAGCATCAAGAACATCTTAAATAAATGAAGAGAAAAGTATACACCGCATTAGAAAAAGCAAACAGAAGATTCTTACATCTACTCCAGTACGGTTCTGAAGTAACTGGAGGAGGAGGAAGAATAATAATAATAATAATAATAATAATAATAATAATAATAATAATAATAATAATAATAATAATAATAATAATAATAGTAATAATAGTAATAATAATAATAATAATAAGAAGAAGAAGAAGAAGAAGAAGAAGAAGAAGAAGAAGAAGAAGAAGAAGAAGAAGAAGTAAAAAGAAGAAGAAGAAAGAAGAAGAAGAAGAAGAAGAAGAAGAAGAAGAAGAAGAAGAAGAAGAAGAAGAAGAAGAAGAAGAAGAAGAAGAAGAAAAAGAAGAAGAAGAAGAAGAAGAAGAAGAAGAAGAAGAAGAAGAAGAAAAAGAAGAAGAAGAAGAAGAAGAAGAAGAAGAAGAAGAAGAAAAAGAAGAAGAAGAAGAAGAAGAAGAAGAAGAAGAAGAAGAAGAAGAAGAAGAAGAAGAAGAAGAAGTGGAAGAAGAAGAAGAAAGACGAAGAAGAAGAAGAAGCAGCATCAGCAGCATTTGGCAACCTTTTATACGTTCGTGGTTCATTTTCAGGTACAAATCAAAATTCCAGAGAAGTGTAAGGGACGAGTATGAAGCAGGGATTGAAGGAAACAAAACAATGGGTCCAGCTAAAATGTGCCCACCCCGACCTCAAAACCATCTCATCAAGCACGGCAAAGAGCCGCTACTTGCCCAAAGTTAGTTGTTGTTTATGTCAGTTGCTGTAAAAGTCTAACACGCACAAGTAGTGGTAGTAGGAGTAAATTTTACCCCGCCAGGACATCACACAAGCGATGAACACCCGATTACACAAAGTGCCACCATGTGGATGAGGATCACCCGCGGAGATGTCCCGGAAACCGCGTTCAGCCATTACATCATATTTATGGCCGGGCTAAATTGCGGCCCCTGGAAAGAGCCAGTGGGGCTTCAAAATAACGAAAAATTGCATCCCACAATGGGATGACTTGAAGTATCATGCAACACGCACAAGAAGCCAGGCACTCATTCTGTATAGGTAATCAAAGTTACAGGTCTGCAAGCTGCCTTCTATTGGTCTCTAAAGCTGGAGGCCATGATGTAGTAGAGAGAGTCGTAATGCACGGAAGTGAGGTATAACAGTCATGAGCAGGACGTGACGTTTCCTTGGGTGAGCCCAGTACCAGAGCACCATGTATTGGCACTGCATTTATGGAAACCCCCCTTGATGGCGGGGAATGCTCATGTTCTGCCCATCCTTTCCTTAAAAGCTGACCAGTCTACTCGCGGTTGCCCTATGTAGGTTCTTCAGGGGCAAGACACCTCACGCAACTATCCGGAAAGGGTAATTTGGTGAAAAAATGCCCGATGACGTCGGATGTGTCGACCGAAAATCGGAAATATCGCAGCTATGCTGTAAACAAGCACAACGCAGTTACGTCACTCGGACGAAGAAGATGTTTCACTAATTTTTTTAAAGAAAAACATACACTGTCAAATTAATATTGTGTTAAACTTACCTTTTCTGTGTGTGTGTGACCTAACTAAACTATATATTTGGTTAACTATACGTTTATTCAAGTTTTAACATAAACCAAAATGCGAAATGGAGAACTACTAAAGACATGGAACAAACATTAAATGGTTTCAAAAACAGACTTTATGTAGCTCTTGACTGTTGTCTTTCTCACCTCAATTGACAATGAAGAATGACAAAATCTTTTTCATTTTGGGAAATGACGCCTTTGCTATATATATATATATATGCAGTTTCTTGAATACATGTTCTTCCCGTGTGGGTTCTGGAGCCCCATTGTTGAAAAAACAAGCCTCCCCAGCAAGCGTGTCCTGGAAGTCAGCTAATTAGAGATTTCCTTCAGAGTCGGGGTGCATCTGCTCGAGCAGCAAGACACAACCAGGTGTACACAAATAGGTAAAAGTAAAGATTCCTTTTCAAGCCTAAGGCGCATCGGAAGAGCGTCCCATATTTTTACAGACCAATAGGTAATGTAGTCAGCATTACGCCGGCTGTCTTTACTTTCCCAGGACAGCCATCCTGGTACCCATTCTAGGCTGGGTCGACCTGCGACGCCCCATCCGTTAGTTGCGTATCCTTTACAGGACGTTGCAGAATCAACCCTAACAGCCCCTGGCTGTTGTGTGGTTTTTTCTAGGCAATTTACGTCCAGTAGTTTGCCATTGCCACTGGACGGTCGGCTTTCTTGATACCACTGTCGAAACCAACGCAAGGCGCATGGCCCGCAGCTGGGATCGAACCCCGCATCCCGGCATTACGAAGCGTTCGCATCGACTTAGCCACGACGCGACACCCCATACCATGATAAAAATCAGGCAGCCAGCAGTGGGTTTCGATCGCGGTACGTTAGATCACGAGTCGGACTCACAACGCCTGAGCCACGGACGCCGCGATGCACACAAATAAGTCAGTGAGACGATGTACGCGAAAAACTCAGGCTTTGGCACGAAGCCAAAGTGCAAATGGACGAAAAACCAGGCTTAGCCGGTGAACAAAGACGAAGAATACTTCTTCTTTTTCTTTTGTTCGCCTGAATTAGATTATCTATATCTGCAATGCGGTCTCTAGTATGAACTTCACTGTCTGTTGTAATTCAATCAGCGTCCCGTAAATTTTGATTTGCACCGGTGTCCTCGTGGCCAAAAGTTTTGCCTTGATATGTTGTACCTGGGCCGGTCTTGGAGGACGTGATCTGTTGTCGCAGGTGCTAATCCACATGTACTTACGGCTGATTCGCCAATCTTAAATGTTCTGTACATGTGACTGCGAAGTCGATTGTGCCCTGTTCTAAGGCGCAGAATAATGACTTGCTCTGGTAAGTCCATTATAGGGTAATCGTCTTTTGTCGGGGGGGGGGGGGGGAAGAATACATTTCTATCTGCTGTTGTCATGGTACCTAAGCACTTGAATGTTTTAACTTGTTAGAGTCCATATCAGTCCCAAAGCCGTACCGGTCAGAAATAGTGCGGCCATCTCTAGAGACTGAACCAATCTCAGAAGGTCGTGTTCTTTTCTAAACCCCAGAACAAAGTTTCCATTATCCCGATGAAGAACGCAAGAAGCCAGCTGTTCCAAAGAATGGCGACCTGCCCTTGATGGGCCTGAGAACCACAGAGAACATCATGTGTGCTAATGCTGTGAAAAACGTTCTCTCACTGCCGAAAATTCCCGCCAAAAGATATGTCGACACGCGACGTGGTGATGCACATGATCTGCTGCAGTCTGGTTGCGAACCTGTTTATGTTCACAAAAAGGTAGGTTAGTTAGTTGTCTATGTGTTACAACAGTGATGGAGCTGCGTGGTCTTGAGGCATGGTGTCCGCCTCGAGTGCTAGAGGTTCCGGGTTTAATCCCAGGTGGGGGCTGGGATTTTTTCACGTGGACTTGGGCTTTTAATAACCTTCCCCCCCCCCCCCGGTCTCTGGGTAGTGAGATTAGACGCCCGTGTGCATTGTTGCGCACGTAAAAGAAATCTCTTGGCAGAAGAAGAACTGAGCACTTATGGGTTACTACCAGTGTGCCATAATGTTGATCCATTGTTCAAACCTTACAACAGTGTTATTCTGAGGTCGGCCACCAAACAAAGAAATGCCTGCCTTATCATGTAACAGAGTAGGGTGAGTTGTTTTTGTCTTTCACGATTACTGTCTGCAGGATTTTACAGCTCGAGGGGTGGCAAATCAAACAGGTGTAAATCTCAGAAACACTGTTTTTTCTTCAGCTTTCTGAGCCCTTGATGTTCATTGCTGCAGATATCCCCCGTCTTTTTTCATCTCTCTGGTTGACCTACAACCATTCACCTCCCTCGTGTATCCGGTTTTTATTTCTCCGTTATCTGACATTCTTTCAGTGTGCCCCAACTGTCCTTAATGTGAAAAATGTACTTTTATAATGAAATTGACTGTTTTATTTAAAAACACAAACTTCTCATTTGTTTCAGTACCATTCTTTGATTATTTTACAGGAATATGGCGAAGTTCCAGTTTATATAACCAGACGCAAAGAAGAGCTCACCAGAGCAAAGGATGAATATGACAAGTATGTGGCTGAAAAGTTCCAGGCAGGAGCAATGAGACAGCTGACAGATTTAGAGCATCAGACAATTCTCGAGGGTCTGAAGACAAACTGGGAGGATCTTCTAGACCGGTATCAAAGTCTGTCCGTGGTCACAGACACCCTGGGAAGGAAATATAGGAAGGAGAGGATGGAGAACCAACTAAAGCAGCTGGAACGCGACATTGAACTCTTGGAGAAGCACAAAATTGTTTACGTTGAGAACTAAAGGGTTATTCTTGGCTAACGCTCGGGCTACGATGTATTATAATGCTGTCGCAATTTTGATTTTATAATTAGTTACCAACTTTTAGTGGAAACTAAGAATTCTGTGTAAATTTCCATGTACTGACATTTTGGTACATAACACTGTCAGTGTACTCTTTTTAAATATTTACTTGCTTTTAAAACAGAAGTGTGCATTGACAAGCTTTATTTGGTGAAATCTGCCCTTTCAACATCACACAGCAATACTGGTAAACACAACTGAGCAAAAATGACATCAGTATAACTAGAATGTCCTTTCACTGGAACCTTTAAGGCCAAAGAAATAAAGGCAGATTTAAAACAAACAAATCTGGAAAGAATGAAAGACAGAAGAATTACATGAGGAAGAAGTAAAGACACATATGAAGGTAAATAATAAGACAACTAAGTGAGAGTTGCTTGAGAACCTAGGCTTCTTTCAGGCATAAAGAGAAGAAGACAATGAATAAAACAATGAACAATAAACCAATAATGTTTTAATATTTATAATCTGTCAGTATTCGACACATAAATTACATCATTGAAACAGAACAATGTAAAAAATACATATTTACCTAAAAACTGAATGTTGCTTTTTTTTTTTTTAAATATGCAGAACTTGTTTTGTTCTGGTTTCCAAGTTACAAATTCAGTTCAGTTAACATCTACAGGGTCTTAATTATTAACATTGTCTATTCAAAAGTCTCCAATCACATTTCAGATTAGCAAAAACTTACAATCTATACACATACATTGTCCATTCATTATTGTGTGCCATGTCCTTTTTCATCATCTCCCATGACTACCTGTGTTTTTGACCCAGTTATACCACATGGCTAAGTCATTCATTCATGTCACCTCTTTTCCTCCAATTTTTTCATAACCAGGCAGTTGTAAATATGTTTAATGACCCTCATATACTGTTGACTTCTACATCTAATTTGTTGATTAGTTCACAGGTTTTTTAAAATCTGTTTTCTAAACAACTGCCTCATAACATCATATGTCTTTCCATGGCATTCTTTGCACACAGACTTCTGATCCAATATGGTGGAAAGGGTAGCAGTTCATTAAAGCCTCAAAGTGTTTTTTTTTTCTTCTGCAGATAGTTTGCTAAACCAAATATGAGCTGGAATCCATGGTTGTGTGGCTAGGCTACCGAGTTAAGTGCATGGTACAACAATGTGAGCCTGGTACTTCATAGGGAATCACCTATAACTGCAGCAGTGTTGTGTAGTGATATTCAGAAACTGGTAGGCTGTCAGTCTGCATTTGGGCTGCCAAAGTATCTTATGCAATAATGCACACGTACAGCCAGCTTACTGTGACTGACTCACTTCATTAATGACAAACTGCAATTATAGTGGCGACTGTTAGTGCTTGCACATCTAGTGGCTGCCTCATACATTGAATTCCTGTGCTAGCTGTTGGATTTTGCCGGAACTGCTGCCTTAACCTCTCACACTGGCCAGCAATAGTCATTTTGTGAGATTTTTACTTACATAGAACGAGTAATAATGGGGTGACTCATTTGCAGTGAGGTTGAAACCTTGATTACTAATTCTGCACATTCCCCACAAACGGTACTTCCACTGCCATTTAAAGTCTCTTGCCATAATCTAACCATAAAGTTGCAATAATTTTTAAAGAATCTGAACCCTCCTAACCCAGTAGGTTGAGACAGTTCTTTACCTTCTAACAATGAGCAAAACCTGCCATTACAGCTTGATTTAACCACTTCTTCAGTGTAGTCAGGCGGGTCTTTGAGGATTTGGGGGCTATCTCCACAGACTGCAGGTTAGGATTATATATATATATATTTTCCCCAAAAGAAAAGAATTCACAACCTTACCCAAGGTTTGAACCTGGGTCTCCAGCATGGCAGTCCAGCATTCTTAACTGTTTGGCCAGCCGCTCCTTGTTTAAAGAGTTAACCTACTTACAGCTGTGACTTGTGAGTAAAAGTTCCAACACAGAACAGACACTTTATGCAATCGCTAATCACAAACTGGACTGCACACTTCATCATCACACAATAAAGCATTAAAAACCAGTTAGTGTAACAAAAAAATTAGGTTAGTTGCGTATCCTTTACAGGACGTTGCAGAACCAACCCCCAACAGCCCCTGGCTGTGTGGTAAACAAATAAAGCATTCAATATTCTGATCTTAAACACACACAAAAGATTTAATAATCCAAACATACCAACAGGAAGATGAAAGAGTGCAAAAAACACACACAGACAAAACAAGACGAAAAAGTACAAAATGCTATTTTGCAAATCAGCTTTTCAGGTACAATTTTACAATGAATAAAAACAATAAATAAATAATAGGTATTTCAATGAAAAACGAGAAACATTATTCCAAGAATGATGTAGTACATAATTAATTCGCTAGACATCATTTTTTACATATTTTCACACATGGCTCCTTTCTCGGGCCTCACAGAAGTGACTGTATTAGTTTTACAGTGGTTATTATACAACAAGTGTATCTACAGATAACACAGAATACCCTCTAGTGATGACCAAATTGCACTAGAAATCAGCCAATCAGTTGTTTAACAGCTGATTTCAAAAACCTGTTTTATCTCATATAATTCTAGCTCTTACAGCAGTGTCTGGTCATCTGCAAAGATGGACACACAAAGCACAAACTCTCCAGCTCCGGCCATGTCCTAACATCCAAATTAAATGTTATAGCCCTATATAAAAATATACAAAATGTTTTTTCTTCTCATCTCTCAGATAAAATCCTTCCCCATGTGTGTTCCAGGGCCATGTTGTAGGGGACAGCAATAATAGACTCACTGCCTCCCCCAAAAGCATGTCAAAAAAGTTAAACTAATTAGGAGCTCATTTTGCAGTACATTTGCCTGAGAGGCAAGGAACCAACAGTCTGCATACAAATAAATAAGTCAGATCTATAAAATGGATGAGCACGCAACACTCAGGTTCGTTCTGGAAGACTATAAAGTCCAGAAGTGGAAAAGCAACCAGAAGTTTCCATCAGAGTTTACACACAGTGAAAGCAAAGAAGAAGAAAAAATAAAATCCCTGCTATTTCTTCCTTTGGTGTACTTCTTCGGTTCCTTCTGCACGATATTGTAATGTTTAATCCTATTTGTAGTCTACAAGAACATATTATTCACACATTTTCAAACAGTATCCTTCAAGTGAAAATGTAACACCTTTATTGGGGCAAATACAGCATACAATTGTCACTGAACACATAATTTATCTGGCGGTGACTAGTCTTCACCTGACCAACTCACAGACCATGGGGTCTGAATCAGGAATCACCCAGTACTATCGTTTGGTCACTTATGAAGCCAGTCTCAAACATCCAGTTCCTCTTTCACAGACGCATCAATGAGCTCAGTAGTGGAAGGTGTGCATAGATCTGAAGCTGTGGCTGTACTAGCTTCACCTGCTGGTTCCGGTTTGGGTTTGTAGTTGCGCATCTCACGCTCGTATCTTTCTTTTTCTCTTTCATACATTTCATAATAGACCTAGCAGAATATTCAAAAAATATATAGATTATATATACGCATACAGGTTATAGGAAATTTCACAGAGACAAGTCTTTTTCTTCTTCTTCACTTCCTCTTTTACTGCTTCAGAAGTTGAGGAAGTTACAGGTTCTGCTTCAATCTTCTGGCCGCCTCGACCGTAAACACACTGTGCTGTTGTAGTTCTTTGATGTTATCTTTCCATCTTATTTTTGGTCTACCTTTTGCTCTAGGTATTTCTCCTCTTTTGATGTTTGGCATCAGAAGGCATTCTCTAAGCAGGTTCATCATTTGATTTGCTGTCACTGTGTAATTAGGAATTGGTTCTGCATCAACTTTTTCTCTTAAGATCTCATACCTGATTTTACCTCTTCTGGTCACTCATGCAGCCCTTGCAGACAATTCATTCCGATGGTTAATTTTCTTTAGAGATTAAATTTGTGAATGATCGCGTCTGGCACTGGCAGCAAAGAGTGGGAATGAATATGCTTTATTTAAGATGTTTCTTTGCGCTGTTTAGGATTGTCTTATGCTGTGTTAGTGGGGTTAGCTATCTCAATACTTGGTTTGCTTCACTGCATCTGATGGTAATTTCTTCATTTAATCACCAAAGCGGCGTCCGTGGCTAAGGCGTTGCGAGTCCGACTCGTAATCCAACGTACCGCGATCGAAACCCACTGCGGGCTGCGTGGCTTTTTATCGTGGTATGGGACGTCGCAGGTCGACCCAGCCTCAAATGGGTACCAGGATGGGCTGTCCTGGTAAAGTAAAGACAGCCGGCGTAATGCTGACCACATTACCCACCGAGTGCAGATGGTCTGTAAAAATATGGGCGCTCTTCCCATATGCCCGATACGCCTAAAGGCGTGGAAAGGGATCTTTACTTTACTTTTTTTTACTTAATCACCAAAACAGTATGGTAAACAAATGAACACTTATTAACTGGCGCCCTCCCTGTGTGGGTTCTGGGGCCCCATTATGGGGTAAACAAACATAGACCCACCGCCTCCGCAACAAGCATGTTCTAGTTGACAAATTTGACTAAATGTAGACTAATTGGGGGTTTCCTTAAAAGTCAGAGTGCATCTGCCTGTGGCAAAGAACCAACAATCTGCATACAATTAAGTCAGATCTGTTAAATGGATATGCACGCAACACTCAGGTTTTGAAGAAAATACTAAAGCCCAGAGGTGGTCAAGCAACCAGAAGTACTGACACCCAAAGAAGGAAGCAGAACACACTACTATTACTGATTCAACGAAGCATAGGCCCTCAACCACTACAAGTCAGGTCATCATATCCTTTGCTACCACATGTAGCTCACCCCGCATTCTTCCCATCATTCAACTTCACTCTAGCTGCCTCGTTTTTTTTCAACTACTTTTGTTTCTATGCTCACGAGGGTTGCGTTGAAAGACATTCAAGTTGTACTGTTTTTAGGTTTTCTCAATGCGTTGTACCCAACGCCACAAAGTTCTGATGGGTGTATACAAATATGAGTCTAAAATCATATGCTGCTTGCACCACTGGCGCGAAAATGGTCCTTTTACATATACATATTTATCGCTGCGCCAGTTTATGAATGTTTATAATTCCTTGTCTACGTCCTGGCTGTGATATTTGTACCTTTCAGTTGAGACACATCTAGCTTTGTTGGATCTGTGTTACCCAGATTACCCTTTCTAAGTTTACAATTCCATTAGTAGCATTAAAAGGCAGCTGGCAAGCTAGCAAGGCTGAGATATCTGCACTTACCTGCTCCACGTATTCGTATCACCACCCATATTTTTTTTAAAGTTTTTTTTTAAAACTGCTGTACTGCCTGTGTTCTGTATTTCTTAGATAAAGACTTTGGTTGTAATGTTTGGTTGTATTTGTGCGCACCTTTCCCATTCGCTCCGCTGAGCTTTCTGGTCACCAGATGTCGGCTCTGTGGCTAAGTCGATGTGAACGCTTCGTAATGCTGGAATGCCGGGTTCGATCCCAACTGCGGGCCATGCGCCTTGCGTTGGTTTCAATAGTGGTATCAAGAAAGCCGACCGTCCAGAAAGCAATGGCAAACTACTGAATGTAAATTTGCCTAGAAAAACCACTTTGGTTCTGCAACGTCCTGTAAAGGATGCGCAACTAACCATGCCATCAGATAAACTGCAGTTACCCCACATTTTAATCATAACTTTAAATATCCTTAGCCAGGCACTAGGTTTGATAAGTGAAGGATTCTGACCCTAGAGGTCAGTTTAATGGTATGGTGCCAGCATGTATTCTATGTAAAATGTCAACTGCTAATATGCCTGTTTAACGCATACAAAGGAGTCTCTGTGGTGTGGCAGCTAGACGCTCGCCTGCAGATCAGAAGGTTGTGGGTTTGCTGTCCCTGGCGGAGCCAGACTTTTTTCAAAATGACCTTGGCTCCCAGGTCGACCCAGCCTTGAGCGGGTACCAGGTGCAGTCCTGGGAAGTAAAGGCGGCTGGCGTAATGCTGACCACATCACCCCTCTTGTGCCGTTGGTCTATAAAATACAGGTCTAGCCCTATCCACCCAATACGCCTGAAAGGGGTCCTTTACTTATTTTACTTTTAAAGTGTGCAAAACTTTCAATCTCATACCCTTTTCTCCTCAGGAACTAAAGCGTTCCACTGCTGGGCCAATGACTTTGTGAGTTCGTGGTGGGCAATCTCTTCCTTGTGCTCCTGTCATCAAAGTTACACAGACCTTAATTAGTACATATAATTACAGTCATTCTTTTTAATCATTGTAAAATTCAAACAGAAGAAATAAAATGAAACTAAGGTAAAGTTAAAGATGAGAGGATCAACTTCACTGTCCAAGTTTATCTTAACACAGCTTGGTCTCTCTCCGCATAACAACCACCGACTGAATGAGCATTGTACAAAGCACAAACCCTGTAGCTCCAGCAATGATCCCAGGGATCTCTGTAAAAACTGCACATATGAAATGAACAACACAAAACTAATAAATGACTTTTAGGTCTTTAGACAAACAGCTTGACAACTTTGCCATGGATGACCACCCCCTCCCTCCCCAATCACATAAAAAGATTGCATTCTTTAAAGCTGAATATCATTTTTTTTTGGTGTAAATGATTTCACGGATCACTATATGAGTAAAGCTGCTCTATACAAACACCACTCTGACAGATGCAAGTCCTATTCAGGACTCAGACAACATAAATGCTTATTCACATAACTTCCCCATGTGGAAGCCAGTGTCTAGGTGATCCTTCTTGTTGTGTGTGGTGCTCGTTGAGGGACCTGGGTAGAAATGTTTGACAGTTTTTGTGCATATCCCTCCCTTATGCTGTTAAGCTGCCTAGTCATAGTTCTGTGAATAATTTTCTGATACCAGCTCAACTGCAGCCATTTGTTTTCATCACTTCTGAATGTCAATTCATTGAACTTTTTAAAGTCCATGCCTTGTGGTATTGGTAGTCATGTCTATCCACAACCTTCTCTCTTGTGTACTTTCAAATTCTAACATAGATGATCTTCCATGAAATAATGTCAATCTGTCCAGCATCTTCTCTCAGTCTTCCTATACCTCTGGTTCTTTCCCGCTTTTTCACTCCACCTCGGGAGCTGAGAGACTTGGTAGGTAATTCCTAGACAGTTCCCTGGAAAGTTCTATATTATGGAGGAGGGGTGGTTATGGTTAGTTTCCTCTTCTTCCTCTTTTACTGCTTCAGGAGTCAAGGAAGTTATATGTTCTGCTTCTCGCCCTTCTGACCACCTCAACCATAAACACACTGTGCTGTTGGTAGTCATGTCTAACCTTCTCTCTCATGTGACACAGATGATCTCTCATGCCATGTTGTCGAAGTGTCTATCATCTCCTCTCTCGGTCTCCCTATGCCTTGTTGGTTCTTTTTCACTTTTTCCTCACAATCTCGGGGGTTGTGAGATTGGTTCCTAGGGAATTCCCTGAAAAGTCCTATATTATGGGGGGAGGGGAGGTTATGGTTAGTTTATTGTTTTTCTTTTTTTTTTTTAATCGCATGAAATAGATTATCTGTATCTGCAAAGTTGTCTTTAGTATGAAGTTCACTGTCTTGTGTAATTCATGCATTGACCCATTTAGTTCGGCTTGACCCAATGCGATTTTAGGGTGGCTACTTGAGAGGGCCCTGAAAAGTACAGTCTTCATGTTTGTATACTGGTGGGTTAGGGTTAGATGCAGCGATGCTGACAGGCCAAGGAAACTCATGGCGAAGATGAAGTCATGAAGTAAGGAGGCTGCTTCCAAACAGGGCACAGTGGTGGCAATGAACGAACGAAAGTAACATACACTCGACATGATGACACAATAAACGATGAAAACGCAGAGAACAACCAACACATGACACCCCTAGAATATAGGTTTAGTGTTAAATGAACACTGACTAACATTAACCCACCTATACAATGGGACATTCCGGGGAACTCCCTCGGAATTCCCAATAAAATCTTGGAGCCCTAAGGTGAGGTGGAAAACAGCAGCCTCTGACACTATATACTTTAGTTTTCTCTTTCTCATGACAAGCCCAAAGCATGTAGATTGTCTCCTGCTGATGTGGGCAATCAGTTATTTTCATAAGCCAGTCTCTTTCAAGATATCTTCATTACTCTTTTTATCAGTCCAGGCTATTCTCATTATTCGTCTATAAAATCCCTATAAATGGGACATCTGACTGCAGACGGGTATTTCTCACATGCAAAATAATGTTTTCTTCATTGGAGTTAAACGGAGTCAGGGGAAAGAACAGAAAATTTACCTTGAAGTATTCTTCTTGTACCACTGTACGCTGTGTTGTGCAAAACATAAGAAAGGCATTAGCTGGTTTCTTGGGGGCATTGGGGTCTTTCTCTTTTTCTGTTTTTATCTGAAAACATACATTACCACAAGGAAAAATAATAATATATCTTCTCTTTACCTGAAAGCATTCATAACAAAGAGAGGCAGGGGGTAAGAAGTGTTGGTGTTGTGGGTAGTGGGTTCCCCCCCTTACTTCACCCTAGGTCTAGTGAATATCTGTTCACGAAAGGAGCGTCCATTGTGGTGTCAGCCTCTTGACCTAGCAAAACCTCTCTTACCTCAAGACCATTGTGCGTGGCGAAGAGTCACAGCCTCCCCGAGGTAGTCCCGGTAACTGGGGGTGCGAATCCCCAGGCAAAACACAATGGATCTAGAGGAGCAAACCTCGATAATAAACCCGGTGCACCACACCGTACTGCCCCCTGTGGGAGGGAAGGAGCCAGAGGTGTGCTGAACAGTCTTAGGAATGGAAACAAGTATGCTAACCCCCCTGAATACCGGAAACTATCGTGAAGGCACAGGGACTCAGGACGTGACGATCCAGTTGCCCCAACTACTCATGCTTAGGCCATGCTTAGAGACATGAAGAGCTCAGCGAAACCTGCAGGCAATCTGGTGGCGGGGAATGAGCACACTGTGAGCCCCACCTTAGCTACGTGTTAAAGGGAAAGGCAGAAACACAACCCATATTTCCTTTAGAACTGGTACAGGGCATTTCTAGCTGCTGCCCGGGGAGGTAGGTAATCCACAGACACCCCAGCACCACAATGCCATGAATATGTCAAAATTAAAGAATACATACGAGATCGGTCGTCGCCTCGTCTATCAAGGCCCGCGCCAGACAGTGGGAAACCAGGCTGTCATGTGCGAAAAATTGGCTACTGGAAAATTTGAAATAAATAGGGAAAACAGACACCCCAGGAGGAGGAAGAGTGGGAGGGAGAGCAAAAAGAACTCAGACAGCACAGCAAAAAATACACAGATGCTCAATATTCTGCAGCTGAACATCTGTGGAATAAGAAATAAGAAACTTGAACTTGCCAAACTGCTAAACAACCACAGGGTACACGTGGCTGCCCTACAAGAAACCCTGCATAAAGACTCTGATCTGCATCTCACTGGATATACTAGTTATGCCTGTAAGTGCAATGACTGCCGGGGCATAGTGACCTATATCAGAAATGACATACAAGGAGATGTAACAATGTTGTCGACATCTCACCCTACAGATGTGCAAAAAATAACTATCTGGCACAATGGAAGCAAATACACGATATACAACGTGTACAGCCCACCTCAGACAACATGCAACATACCAGAACTATACAAGACACAGTACCATAAAACCCTTCTTGTTGGTGACTTCAACGGACACTCGCCACGTTGGGGTTACCCTGACTACAATAGCACAGGGAAGTACATCGAAGATACTTGTGAAACAACTAACCTATTAGTGCTGCAGGACACAGAGTCTACACCTACACTGTTACACAGGGCCCACCTATCTCTCAGCAGACCAGACCTGACCATCTGCTCATCCGACTTAGCAGACGCAAGCTATCCCCAAGTCCTGGACGACATAGGAAGTGACCACAAACCTATACTCACAACTGTAAGCACCACCCCTAAATTACGCTTCAAGCAGAGAACCCGTTGGAATTTCCGAAAAGCAAACTGGAAACTATTTCAGGAAACATCTGACTGCCTCCTGGGAAGAATTGACAACAGCTGTGTGGAAACTTTTTGTGAAGACATAACACAAGCAATCCTGAATGCAGCGTCGAAAGCCATCCCAAGGGGCAGCCGGAAGGCATATAAACCTTTTTGGAATCAAGAAATTCAAAATACTATATCTGAAAGGAATAAAGCAAGAATATTTCTCGAAACTGCACGTTCAACAGAAGCAAAGATCCAATACAATAAAGCATGTGCCAGAGTAAAGCTTGTAGTTAATAAGGCTAAAAGAGATAAATGGACAGAAACTTGCTCCAACTTAGACCTTAGACATTATGGAAATAAAGCATGGACTTTAGTTAAAAACCTCTTCGGAGAAAGTAGAAGGGTGAACCCAAAACCAGTGACAGATGGGAGTAAGACAATCACTGAAGACAAGAAGAAAGCAGAACATTTCAATCATTATTTTGCCTCGGTTAACAGAGCAGGTAAGCTGTCAGAACTCGATAGAACACAGCTCTCTCAGTTGAAGAAACAAGAGAGAGCTCCAACAGCCAGCGACTCCCTTTTTGAAAATGAATTTAGCATGGATGAATTAGAGCAAGCCCTGAAGAAATTAAAACCTAGAAAATCTCCAGGCCCAGATAAGATCCACAACGAAATGCTGCTACATCTTGGCCGGTCTGGGAGAGAAGTAGTTCTCAGGCTTATTAATAAAACTTGGAGGTCAAGCAAACTTCCAAGGGCATGGAGGAATGCATATATCGTCCCCATCCTTAAAACCAAAAAGCCTCCAGATGACCCCAAAAGCTACCGCCCGATATCCTTAACATCATCCGATTAATCTGCGGAGCTATGCAGTCTACACCAACTGCTGCATGTGAAATCCATACAAATGTGGAACCCCTCGGGTTGCGGAGAAAAAGCCACTTTAGAAATTTATGAAAGATGCGTTAGGAAAAATCGTAACCATCCTAATAGACATCTTGTAGAAAACTGGGAATCCAAACAAAGAATAAAGCACAAATCGGTTTTACACTGTGTTAATGAAATTCAGGACAGATACCACCTCCCAGAAAGACGTCAAGGAATTCAGAATGTTGCAAAAAACCTACCACCACATGCTCGCTTTAAAGCTCCAGAAGTCCAAACTAAATTGGTAGGCGAGGAAACCAAACAGTCCGACCCAATCGCTCTTATGAACTCATAACTAAAGACCGTTGATTCTTACCCCCAAGAATGGATACATGTCTATACTGATGGATCAGCATTTAAAGCTACCATTAAAGCAGGTTACGGAATCTACATAGGTTATCCCGATGGATCTGTTGAAGAGATTTTTGATGCATGCGGGGAATTCTGTTCAAACTATGAAGCTGAAATAATTGCACTGGAAACAGCAGTATACCACCTAAAGACTGTAATGGATGTTTACCCCTCAAAGGTCCAAAATATTGTAATCTTCACAGATTCAATGTCTGCCCTTCAAGCTCTGGAGGGCAATGAACGCTGCAGAACTGACATAGCCAAGATAATCCTGGATGCCGATCAGCTTATTACCTCATACAACATCAGAATAGTGATGCAGTGGATTCCAGGTCACTCCGGCACACCAGGTAATGACAGAGCTGACAGATTGGCAAAGAAAGGAGCAACACAAGAACAACCACCTACAGCGACAACCCTCCAGACAGCAAAAACACTGATAAGAGCTATAAACAAAGAGACTTGGTTGAACAGATGGGCCATGGGAGACACTGGAAGAGAGGTTTATAGACATATGTCTGGCCCTGATCCTAATGACAGCATTAACCATCTAACAAGAAGGGACCAGGCCACCATCTTCAGACTTAGAACGCAACATACTCCACTCAATGGACACCTAAACAGAATACAGCCACAACACTCCCCAGAGTGCCAGCTATGTAACTACCCCTACGAAACTGTTGAACACCATCTCTTTGAGTGCCCAAAACTCAGTGAGACAAGAAGAACGCTACTCCCTCCGAGACCAGACAAGTGGAACACCTTGTACGGAGGAAAAGAACAGCTTGTGAAAACATGCAAATTCCACTACATGGCATTGGGCCAAAGGGCGAAAGCTCATGCGCCGCTGGATCGATAACAACAACAACAACAACAACAAAGAGAAATAAATAATCCATCTTCTCATTATCCTAAAACATTTATAACAATAAAGAGAAATAAATAATGAACAAAATATGTAGATTTCAAAGCAATTGTTTGCTTTTCCTACAATTATTACACAGAAATGAAAATGTGTAGCATTTAATTTGTAATAATCTTTGCAATAATATAAAGAAAGCATTGTAAATTTTACAAATCAGCAACTTTAAGGAATCAAAAAACCAAAAAGATTAGGAAAAAACATAGCTGCAAACCCTGATGGAAAGTCCTAAATTGTTTGTCTGTGACTGGGCTTTAGTCTCATTCCAGCATTTAAATGTTGTGTGCAATGTGATCTGGCTTATTTGCATGCAGACTGTTGGTTCCTGACCTCTCAGGCTCCAAAGACTTTAAAGATACTCACCCACAGATGTCACTGTTATTGCAGAACAAACATGTAACAGTTGATACCAAAAGACCAACATAGCATATATTTCTACCAACATTGCCAATTTTGAACATTAACACCACCGAAGGATCTGTTGTCTTGAGATCCTGTCTCTACAGTAAGGAACCTGTTTCAAAGATGAGCACAGAAAGGTGTAAATAGATCTTGAACAGCCCTGGTCCTAGGACACCACCACTACCACATGTGGTATTCTTTCCTCTAGACCAGTGTGTCTCAACCTTTCTAATGCCGCAACCTTTTAATACAGTTCCTCGCCTTGTGACCCCCAACCATAAAATTATTTTTGTTGCCACGTCATAACTTAGTAAGTATGTGTTTTCCTATGGTCTTAGGTAACCCCTGAAAGGGTCTTTCGACCCCCCTCCAGGTTAAGAACAGCTGCTCTTTACCATGCCTTGCCTTCAAGTGTTCGATTTTGAAAAGGCATCTGGTGCGTGCTGTGGTGATTGCTAGGTAGATGATTCATTGCCTCAGATATTCCATCCTGACTGAGGCTTGCACGGACAGCCTCTGACTCTGCTTCCGATGCATCTTAGTCTTCTTCTTCTTTCCTTCGCCTGAAATAAGTTGTCTATATCAGCAGTTTTGTCTCTTGTATAAATTTACGTTCCACTTTTGTTCTTTCTGGCCAAAAGGTTTGCCTTAATGTGTCAAAATCGGTGCAGTCTGGAGTACATGCTCTGCTGTCTGGAGCACATTTCCACAGGTGCACATGGCTGATACACCTATCTTGAATTTTGTGTACATGTGGTTATGTAATCGGTTGTGCCCTGTTCTGAGGCGGAGGATAATGACTTGTTCTGGTCTGTCCATAATAAAATAGTCGTCTTGTGCTGGGGCTGGTGGTTTCCTGATCGATTTAATTATTCTTTTCTTTTGGTGGTATGTGACTGGTACATCCGGCTGCTCTTTTGTTGCACCTTCCCCTGCCAGTTGATCAGCTTTCTCATTTCCAGGCACTCCACAATGAGACGGTATCCACTGCATTACAACTCTTCGCTGAACGCTGAGTTGTGTCAGCAGTGTTTGCAATATGCATCTTAGTGACCGGGCTTTCTATGGTATCCTATCTTGTAGTAGTGTTGACCAAATCATTTGATCTGTTGTCTCTTGATGCTCTGGCTCCGTCTCAGCCTGTTTTCTGATATCATCATTTCTGATTCTGTCTCTTCATGTTATATTTAGGATTCATCTGAGACATTTCCTTATTACTGTTCCAATTTTTTTCTTTCTTATGCTGTTTATGTCCACATTTGGTAAAAAATACATGCTAAATTGAATGATGCTCTTTTGGTATCAACTGCTACATGATTGTTCTGCTATAATGGTGACATCTGTCCAATGATCTGATTTGCTTTATTACATTTATATTCTATCGTTCTTCCGTTTTTCCATTTAATTTTATCCCATGGATGAAAGCATAGTTCTTAGATATTTGAAGTCTTCTGTCTGAGTTGCTGGCTTTTTTTGTATATCCGGATCGGTTGTTCTTTTCTTGCAAGGGTCATATTACTGCTGATTTTTCCATGTTAATTTTCATGTTCTGTACTATTGCCATGTTATGCTTTGAGTACCTAAGGACAGCAGCTCTGAATCCTACAAAATTTAACAAATCAAAATAGATCAAATACCTTCCGAGTTTTAGCTCCAGCATCCAAGCCTCCAAGTCCATGTGCTTGCAACAGAGGCTGGATCGAGGATAGGGCTGATCTGTGTTCAAACCGGTTTTTGGTGTCCGTCTCCGAGTCTGAGCCCATTCCAGATGTTCTCAAGCTGCCGTAAAACTGATCTTCCTGTGTAAAATCATTTTCTGACACTTCAAATGGTACAAAATTGTTCAATGAGTATGTATACCTAGTCTCTCACAATCAAAGTGAAGTGATTACCAATGAAGCTTTTCTCTGCTTTATGATAGTAAGCTGCTAGCGTATGGTCTCTCCTCTGCAAAGCAGGAGAGGAAACAACCAATAGGACAGCCTCAAATTAATACAAGTGGGACCCAATCTAAATGATGATCCTAGCATTTCACAATTATGTGTGGGATCACCTCTATCTTTGTGTATTTAACCAGTAAAACTGCAAAACTGCTGTATATTACTTGGGCACATAAGGAAAGCAAAGAATAGTAATCTGCAAACCTACAATAAGGCAAATAGACAGAGTTGGCCAGAGACTGATTATTTTATCCCAAAGAAAACTTCAGATACCAAATTCAGCCAATCTTCAACATGTTTATTCTTGCCATGAACACACTGAGATGGCAACTTCTGAAATTGGTGAAAGCTGAGACAATAAAGATTAACAATCCCATGTGGTAATCAGGTGACTACCCTGAACTTCTGGCTGATAAAATGAACAGAATGACTAGAGAAGAAAATGTGATCTGCGTATTGAAATGAAAAGGACTCAATGTTTCTATTCAATATATGTTGATGTAACTGCAGTAAACACATAAAGGGCTTGTCATGGGTTGGTTAAGGGTATATGCTTCACTGAGAACTGAAAGATAGTGGAAAGGATCATCATCATCATCATGTAGCAGGTCCTTTGCAGAATGTCGCTCTCATCACTGTCTGCCTGAAAGAAACTCGGTCTCTTGTCAGCTCTCCCTCTTCTTGCACTTTCATATTCAATAAGTCACCTATATCATGTGCCCATCTTTGTGCTGGTCAGCCCCTGCCTCTCCTTTCTGGTACCACGTCTTCTTTTATTTTTTACAATCCGCTATAGTGTTTGATATGAAAAAAATATTTCAGCTTCCAAAACAAGTGGATAGGATACTGCAATGCAAACATGGAGTATACTTCCACGTGTTCTTCCAGTTGTATTAATACATGTTTATTCTTGATATCCTGTGGGGTCGAGCTAAGAACTGATATCCCGGCACACTCGGGACATTCTCATAAGCATTCCACCTGCCATCTGCAGCAGCCAGCAGAGAGTTCCACGTCTGATGGTACCAGTCCATCTGGCCTTTCTGCTGAGTGGTGCATTCATTGCGATCATCTTCATCACACATGGGACATGACCATAAGTGCTCTGATCTCCTCCTGAGTATTGTCTCCAGGTGTTTTTAGGCTAACAACCCTCACTCTGTTCTGGTTGATGTAACGTCATCGGCTCATGCCTGGTATTCCTGTATTGCTGCTCCAATTGACTCAGGGAATGCAGTCGACTCAGCGAAAAATCATTTTCCACGAAACTGAAAGCTGAACAGCATTTTGTCTCTCGTATGGCATTGATAATGTCTCTCCTGCCTATAGAAGGCTCATTCCTGCTAGTCGCACTGCCAGCCAGTGCATATGCTCACTAATTGCTTTTCACACCAGCATAACCTGGGACAAAAATGAAAATGATTTTGCGAAAAGCTGTGTGCTGAATCAGATGGAGCATATGGGCAAGATATCCTGGCCACCTATCGCTGCACCAATTTTTTGAGACAGTGAGGATCTATTTATGCTTCCACACTGTTCACTCACTCACAAAGGGCCTTGATAACAACTTGATCTCCTTTGCCTCGGATACAATGGCCAACATGCGTGCCTACCAGCTAAGTGGTTATGTGCTTGAATTTCTCTGAAAAATAAATTATTTTTAAAATTCACCTGGCCACAATAGGCTGACTGAACCTAAAAAAGGGTACCGGAAAATACTTGGGAAGTAAATGCGACTGGCATGATACTAGTTTGTAAAAATATAAAGCTTGCAGCATATACCCAAACAAGCTGACTAAAATATGAAAAGAAGTTCTTTACCTTACTTCAGTTAGAAGGAAGACCTGTCGCGAAAAAAATTTATGATTTAACTGATCTACTATTCAATTTCACTGCTAAACCAAGACCTGGATAAAATACTCAGGAAAAGGACAATTCTCACCTCCCACATGTGTGGAACCTGGGCATCTCTGTAGTTGTCACCATGTTCATCAAGACGGCTTGTCAGAAATCTGCAGACAGAGCAAATGGTGACTAGTGGTAGTTCTCCAACACAAAGCCCATATTACAGCAGTAAAAAAACACCTCTACATGTACAAACTGGAAAACAGATATAGACATATTTTCTGTGTATCATGTGGGAAGAAAAAGGCAAGTTTTATGCTAGCCACTTTGACTTTTGCCAGAACTCTACTACTCATTAAGATCTTACAGACTCCAGAGCTCGTCATCTTCTACCCATCTGTAATTTACCACAGAGGATGATTGCTACAATGCTCCTATTCTCCCCTAACATTACAGAACTAGGTAACACACTGCTGACTTTACAACATGAACAAAACTTTAAAAAAAAAAATTTGCTTATATAAATACTTATTTCAACACTCCAAGTATCCGAAAATAACACAATTTAATATTATGGTCAATAATTTAAACACATTTAATAAACCTGCTTACCAAGATTTAAGAAAAAAGAAATAAAAAGATTTATATTTATGTGATAAAAGACTAAATCCATTAATATCAAAACCAGAACCAAGTCTACAAGACTGAAACAGCAGGATACCAGAATAGACCATTCATACAAGATATCTCATACGTTACCACAAACTATAGAGCAAAATGAACCAATCAACTTAGAGGACACTTCATAATATGCTAATAAAATGCTAGGGCTGTTTACAGAAGAAAGGCATTGTCTAGCAACTGCAGGTCAAATTAACTTTTACCTAGAAAACAAAATTTCCTACATTTGTGCATATGTGTGTGTGTGTGTAGAATTTTTTTTGCAATTTATGTTCAAGTATTGGAGGAGCGACGCCTAAAAACACATATAGGATACTGATGATTAATATGTGTAGGATATGGAGGGAACTGCATATTTTTAAAGGTCTCTCACAGTCCATACATTTTAAAAGTCATACTGAAAAACTTGTAAATAATTTATAAATATCAGAATCCCAAAATAAAAGTCTAACATCTTTAAGAAGCAAAGTAATCATTTTGTTTAGGTAAAGTCAATCTCAGAATAAAAGTCTAACATGTTTAAGAAGCAAAGTACTCATTTTGTTTAGGTAAAGTCCCCATCTGCGTCTGTGACTTAGGCATTGCCAACACGATTCGTAATGGCGGGTTCGATCCCAGCTGCAGGTGATTTTTTTGCCTTGCCTAGGTTTTGAGTGGTGTTGAGAGCCGTTCAGGACACAATGGCAAACTACCCAACGTAAAACTTGCCTAGAAAAACCACAACAGCTAAAAGATGCTAGGGTTCGGTTCTGCAAAGTCCTGTAAAAGGATACGCAACTAACTTCTTAATCAAAGTTCCAGGTTTGCAGGCAGCCTTCTGCTAGCTTCTGAAACCATAGCCCATGATGACTGACAGGCTCAGTATACTGAAGTGATGATAAAGTCATGAGCAAGACATGATGATTCCTTGGGTGAGGCCAGTACCAGAGCACCATGTATTGGCTCTGCATTTATAGAAAGCTCCTTGGGTGGCTGGGAATGCTCATGTTCTGATCCTGTCTTCTTATGAGAGCTGACCAGCATTACATGGCTGCTCTGGACAGGTCTGGTGGGGGGCACCACATGTGAACTAGATAACAAAGATGACCTCACAACAATGAGACTGCAATGTCCTAAGAAACAAATTCCTGTTTGGACCTTTTCACAATTACCGGCCTATGATGAGAGTGACTTCCCTTGCCATTCATGCCTCCTTAGATTGCAGGAACTCTTATGTTGCAGGGGTGTTATGATATGGTTTAGTTTGGTGTTCGCTCGGCGCATGCAATGTTTGTAGGAGGTTGTGTTGTGAGTCTATTTCAGGCACCTCAGGCACCTGTGTACTTCTTCTTCTTTACATTCACCAGCTGTAAACTCTGGTGGAAAGTTCTGGTTGTTTTCATCCCCTTCTGGACAGCAGTCCTGTTTCAGAACCTGAGTGTTGCATGTGCATCCGTTTTACAGATCTAACTCATTTGTGTGCAGACTGTTGGTTACACACCTCTCAGGCATATGCAGTCCGACTTCGAAGGAAGCTCCCAATTAGTCAACTCTTACGACAAGCTTTTTGGGTAGGCAGTGAGTCTATTCTTGTTTTTCCTATAATAGGGTCCCGGAACCCACACAGGGGATTCTTACAATATGAGCACCTGTGTACAAGTAGGAAGTACTGCAGGGGGAAGCATAGTTTTCTACGATTCTTGGCTATCAAAACTAGGATGTTTTTGTATTTCTACGTTCGTTGGCTGTGTTTCCGCCCCCCCCCCCCCCCCCCCCCCTCTTTTACAGACGAGAGACATAAAGTAGTTACAAGGTTACAAGGAGTGCAGGAATATACAAAATGTCGCCTTTTTGATTACCCCCGAACCATCGCACAGGTAGCAGAACGTGAAAATGATCATGAAAGTGAGCAGTGAGAAGATGAGAAAAGAGGGAACCATTAAACCATTCACAATAAGGAAAACATACTCCCCCGCAACATGGGAGAGTTCCAGTTACCTAAGGAAACATGAATGGCAAGGGAAGTCCATCTGATCCTGAGCCTGGAAATGTGAACAGCACCTTTTGTTTATGTGATTATGTGGCACATAAAAAATGTCTAAAATAATAAATAAATAGCCAGTATAGCTATATAGACAACAAATGCTTGTAGAAGTTTTATAATCACCCCAAAGGTGCAGATATCACAGCAATGCTGTAAACGGGCACAGCACATTTAAGACTTCAGATAAATGCAGAAGACAGAAAAGAAGAAGAATTTAAAAAAAAAAAAAGTACTGCATTCTGAAGGGGGTCTTGAGTATATCATTTCATAAACCGGAGGATATCCGAGGCGAAGTTTTTAAGTGGCTTACCTCGGGCTCTGAAGGTTGTGGTTTATCACACAGCTGTTCAGTTCACAAGAGCAGTTTTACAAAAACCTCTGGGAATCATCACCAGAGCCGATGTCCGTGCTTTATGCGATGCTCCCGGCAGGCGGCTAGCCATTTTGCGAAGAGAGACTGAGCCAAATGGGACAAGAGCCAGTGCAATGAAGTCAATCCTCTTAACTTCAACCTTTAATTTTATATCATGACCTGCTAAAATTGGCTCCTCTGATTACCAAGGGTAGGTGGAACACCAAATGGGAAAGACTGCTGCAAAACCATACTGATAAAGTTGTATACATACCTCTTATCTCGTTTGTACCTCTTTATCAACTTTTTCACATGCTGAATTCTATTTACCATCCTTTCATTGGTCTGAAAAATATAATGAATAAATGTACTGTTTGTATCATCATTATCAGAAAATATTACCACCTGATCACTATCAAATCCAGATCGTGAATTTCACCAAACATAGCCACACTGGCTAGTAATATTTGATAATTAGGTTAAAATGCACACCAAGCTTCTACCATTATAACAAGTAACAAATGAACAACACAAAAAGTGCACACTCACTCAGAAGCGCATCTAATCCACAGCTGAGTAGAAATGTACATCCATTTTTGAATAGAATCACTTTTACCATGGATAAATTCTAAAAACTGTTAATTATTAGAAACTAAAGCGCATACAGAACGCAGCAATGCAGGTCATTCTGGGTTGTACCAGAGACACCCCACCCCAGTGGTGTGTATGAGATAAATCCTTGGTTTGCTGACTGTTGCAGGTAGGCACAAGATGCTGCCGGTGAAGTCAGATCTTAGGGTAGCTGCAGACACAGACCACCCTCTGCATGAGGCTCTGGGTGCAGTTAAGGGTCAGCGGCTGATAAGAGGGAAGTCATGGATGGCTCAGGCAGAAGACACAATCAGGCAGGTTTGCATCCTTGAGAACTTTAGGCGAGTAGAGGAGTGGGTCAAAGTGCCACCTGAACAGTCAGACTTGAGTAGGGTCATAATCACACTGAGCCGGGAATGCAGAGACTGGCCAGCAGGTGCCACAAAGGTGGAAATTCAGCAATTAATTTAAGATAATGGAGTTTCTTAGCAAAAGCTAATGGTCGACGTTTCGTGCAGGAGAGTCTAGCATATGATACCACAACATCCAGCTTAAGAACTGAGGTGGAGGCGTCACTGCGGTTTTCCGCTGGCTAGAAGCAAGTTTCGAACGGTTTCCATGGTAACGGAAATTACCAAAAGACCGCCAATTGCCGAACACCGTAGTCGCTAGAAACTTGTTTCGCAAATGTCGGCTGGGGTTTCGGGATGGGTCCTAATCTCTCATGAAATTTTGCGATTGGTGTGATTTTCACCCACTATAAAAAGAAGAAAACGGCGGGAAGGAACCCAATTAACAGCGCATGTCTACGACAGCCAGACGTCCTCTGTTTTTCTGTTACATCAGTTTGATTGAAAATAGCGATAAGTATTCAGGGTTGGCTTTAGGCTTTAACTGTTACTGGCCCTGGTAATGCTAGTTATAATTGAATTCTCCGTCCAATTTTACATTTGTGTATAAAATTTCTTTCTGAACAGTGGCTAGGTAGATGTACAGTGACATTTTTCAGGCAATCGCTGGCTCAGCCAGTGGCTGTGTCTCATTGTCTGCCATCTTGCCCAATGACAGTCCAATGTAAACAAAGCCAAAACGATAAGTGCGCAGTTTGGTAGCACAGAGAAAACCTTGTTTCCAAGACGCAAGTTTTAGCAGCTGCTTTCTACATCTCATCTCCACAAAAACCTACCCTTAACCCTACATATCTCAGCTCAGAAATGACACACAAGCCTAAATGAGGTACCGTTGGGAAGAGATTGTTTACAGCTATCTAACTGTGCTGGTTTTATTGGTGTAGAGGGCATTTTGAAAATTTGACTAAAGTACCTAGTATATTTTCAGCCTCGATAATTTGGGACCGTTATATTCGGAGAATAGCCAAAAGCCAGACGTATGAGTATGTGTAAAGATGTGCACGCAAAAATTTGGATCTGAAAAATAATGACAAAAGTGGATGAACTTTATGAACAACCAGAACGTTGGAACTTTCCACCTGAGCTTTTTTTATTTTTTATTTTAATTTAAAACTAAAAGTAAAAGAAAGTAAAATAGTAAAAGTAAAATTACTAAAATAAATAAAATTCAAAAGCAGGTGAACGCGAAGAAGAAGAATGAAGAAAAAAATTATTATATAAACAACAAAACACGAAAATGAATACAGAATATTACAATACCTGTTGAAGCTGCTCACATCTTTTCCTTAACGCGAAATACTTTTTAAAAAATGATGTTTCTTGCGAAATAACTTCAAGCTGAGCTCTAAGATTTGCCGTATCCTCCGGATCCGCCATTTTAACCGGAACTAAACAGAATTATGTCGCTCAACTCAACAAGTCAACACCCCTCGTAATGGTTGTGTCGTTTCGCATTGGGATGTTCAGCAGCAAACCTACATAAAGTCAACACATGTTAAATGACAATCCTGAGGAAAAAAAACGCCAACTTAACCTTCCCAGACATAGTTTAAATGATATTATCAGACTGTCGGAACGACACAGATACATAATGGTCATCTAGTAAGTATGCAGCCAAAATAACTACAAACGTAGGCGCTACACACGAAAAGAGCTCACCCTAGGAGAATATGGATTGATGAAAATAAAGAGCTTCTTCATCGTCACGGTGTGACAATGGTCATTGCTGCCCATCAAGCAACGGCAAATGTGGACATTGATGATGAAGAGGAGGAGGATAGCAACCCCGAATGAGCGACCATTGGTATAACAAAGCCGGGCATATGATCCTTGAATCTTTATTTTGAGAATGGATGTAGATGCAGACACTGCAGTCTCCTTGCGGCCTTGAGAACCAGCTAAACATTAAACACGTCGTGTTGATAACAAACTCAAAACACAAGCTGGAAAAGGTGCAGACAGGTTTGCTCCGTGCAGAGTCACGAGGATGCATACATTCTCATCTATTTTGGTATGTTCTTAAGGGTATGGAGGTGAGCTGGGAAACAAACATTCAGACAGACCGACTGATTCTTCACAACTTGATAGTAAATTGATGTGCTTAATTGGGCTAAACAAGGAACTGACATCACAGCATCTGGAACATTCCCATAAGCGCCCATCCTCTTCTTCAGCAGCCAGGGAAGCGTTTCAATTCCAGTAGTGCCAGTTTGATAATATGTCCTGCTTGCCTTTGATCTGAGCATAGAGTGTCGGCCATATCTCATGGTCACCCTGGCTGCACCATTTCTCTCCAGACAACATTGATATATCCGTGCCTTTGCATTGGCCTCTTGCTCCCCAAAATCCCTGACCACATCTAACTTAGCATGCTTATTTCAGCACTAAATGGTGCAGAACCAGTCAATCTATATACATCTGCCTGTTCATCTGTCAACACACCCGCATTTCCTGAAAAAAATATCCATAGGACACTAACTAGCCGGGACCTCTACAGCGATGCTTGCCACTCTGCACGTAGGATGATTGTCTCCATCTTTATTAACACGCTTTATGAGTCCGTTACAAGGTTACTTGATGCACAGCAAACGTTTTCTTTATCAAGACCCTTCGGGAGGCTCAGTTAGATCACATTTCTACTTTTCTTTTAGTTTGATGTCTTCTCAAAAAGATCATCATGGTCAGGGAAAAATGCTTCAGCCTGAAAAGGGGGGGGGGGTGACTAGAGGGATCCTGCCGATTCTCGACACTCGGGGGGGGGGGGACAAATCAGAATGCAGTCGCACTTTTACGTGTACACACAATTTAAGATTGGCGAATCAGCCATGTGCACATGTGAATTGGCACCTGAGACAACAGATCACGTCCTCCAAGCCTGTACCAAATATAACATATCAAGGCAAAACTTTTGGCCAAGAGAAGCACCAGTGCAATCCAACTTTTATAGATTGCTCAAGGAATTACACAAGACAGTGAATGCATACTACAGACAACATTGCAAATATAGATAATCTATTTCATGTGAACGAAAGAAGAAAAACTTCTACTAGTACGTTCGGAACAGGAACTCTTCGCTTGCAGATGAAGACGGGTAATGGGTGTTTCTGTGAATGTGTTTCTGTGAATGTGTTTCTGTAAATGTGTTTCTGTGAATGTTACAGCGCTGTATGTCGGTTTCAACTCAACCCAGTTCTTATTAGCCTCGTTATTTGCAAAGACAACTTCAAAGTATTCTCTTTCTCATTCCTATTCTTAATTTTCCTGCTCTCTCTCTCTCTCTCTCTCTCTCTCTCTCTCTCTCTCTCTCTCTCTCTCTCTCTCTCTCTCTCATACTAACACTACGTCTGTAGTGAAAAGCGGGGAGTTGTGAGAATATTGTGTGATTTTCTAATGTGCAATATAAGTTGCTTTTTGTTTCTCTGCAGCTGCTATTGATGCAGTCGCTCCATTTTTCATAAACTCGGATGAAAGAGATAAACGTAGAGCTCAGCTCAATATATGATAACTTTAATAACGAGTAATAAATGTTCCAAGTGCCAGCAGTGCTATTCTCCTCAACTAGTAATCTCGGCATCAACCGACACAGTCTTGGCAATCACGCTAGATCTGTCCATAAAACATCCTACATCCAGTCCCAAACTGGGACAACATGCGTTAGTAAAAACATGGTAGGTGTATAGGCGCTTTGTTGGGGGAAAAACATCGTCTCACATTCAACCAGCATTCCCGAAGTGAGAGCTTCAGGTTATAATTATGACTAGGTTATGTGTGCCAAATTAAATGGCTTGGCATTGCACACCACCAAGAACCCTAAAAAGGTTTCGTGCAGTGTTGATACGATCTAAGGAGACAGACCCACTGTCCCGACGGGCGACGAAGTTGTCTACTGGCGAGTGCGCTCTCTCTCTCTCTCTCTCTCTCTCTCTCTCTCTCTCTCTCTCTCTCTCTCTCTCTCTCTCATACTAACACTACGTCTGTAGCGAAAAGCGGGGAGTTGTGAGAATATTGTGTGATTTTCTAATGCGCAATATAAGTTGCTTTTTGTTTCTCTGCAGCTGCTATTGATGCAGTCGCTCCATTTTTCATAAACTCGGATGAAAGAGATAAACGTAGAGCTCAGCTCAATATATGATAACTTTAATTACGAGTAATAAATGTTCCAAGTGCCAGCAGTGCTATTCTCCTCAACTAGTAATCTCGGCATCAACCGACACAGTCTTGGCAATCACGCTAGATCTGTCCATAAAACATCCTACATCCAGTGTCCAGGCTAAATTCTGCCCAGCGTTCTTCAACTGTTTCAAGCGCCATAGCGTCTCCACCAAGCCGTTATCTGTAGGCGTCTGTGGCTTAGTCGTTGCGAACGCGCTTCCTAATGTCGGGGTTGAATCCCTGCTGCCGACGATTTGTCTTGTGTTGGTTTCGACAGTGGTACCAAGAGCTGACTGTTTAAAAGCAACGGCAAAGTACTGAACGTAAAATTTGCCTAGAAAAACCACAACAGCTAAAAATCCTGAGGTTGGTTCTGCAATGGATATGCAACTAGGATATTTCCCTGCCTAACTTTCGTGCGTGACAGTGTTTCCTAAAGTAGGGCTTTAAAACAAAAACAAAATTGTGTCCCAAACTGGGACAACATGCGTTAGTAAAAAAAATGGTAGGTATATAGGTGCTTTGTTGGGGGGAAAACATCGTCTCACATTCAACCAGCATTCCCGAAGTGAGAGCTTCAGGTTATAATTATGACTAGGTTATGTGTGCCAAATAAAATGGCTTAGCATTGCACACCACCAAGAACCCTGAAAAGGTCTCGTGCAGTGTTGATACGATCAAAGAAGACAGACCCAAATACTGTCCCGACGGGCGACGAAGTTGTCTACCGGCGAGCCATTGCGCGACCCTGTCGCCGACGAAAATACATGCAGTAATGACAGTTTTTATGCCGATGACATTAGAGATGTCCACCATCCCTTCTTCACTTGTGACACGCGCAAGTGACAGTTGAAATCACATGACTTTTCTTCGGTCACACGGCGATCAAAATGGCGTTGAGTCAACAGTTACGCTAACATGGAGTGGTGTAGGCATTATCCAAAGCTTAGAATTCTAACACCGCTGATCTCTGAAGGCCGACAAGACTGACCTATAGAATGCTGGTCTATTAACAATGATGAAGTTGTTTTCGGCAAATCATCTTAATTTTCAGTGTGAGTTTTTTTTTTTTTCTGTTGTAGAGAGTCATAAGTTTAAGACCTAAAATAATGTGAGGTACTTTAGTCAAATTTTTAAAATGCCCTCTACACCAATAAAACCAGCACAGGTAGATAGCTGTAAACAATCTCTTTCCAACGGTACCTCATTTAGGCTTGTGTGTCATTTTTGAGCTGAGATATGTAGGTTTTTGTGGAGATGAGATGTAGAAAGCAGCTGCTAAAACTTGTGACCCAGAAACAAGAAGTTTTCTCTGCGCACCAAACTGCGCACTTATCGTTTTGGCTTTGTTTACATTGGACTGTCATTGGACAAGATGGCAGGCAATGAGACACAGCCACTGGCTGAGCCAGCGATTGCCTGAAAAATGTCACTGTACATCTACCTAGCCACTGACAAGAAAGAAATTTTATATACAAATGTAAAATTGGACGGAGAATTCAGTTATAACTAGCATTACCATGTCTAGTAACAGGTAAAGCCTAAAGCCAACCCTGAATACTTATCGCTATTTTCAATCAAACTGATGTAACAGAAAAACAGAGGACGCCCGGCTGTTGAAGACATGACTGTTAATCGGGTTCCTTCCCGCCGTTTTCTGCTTTTTATTGTGGGTGAAAATCACACCAATCGCAAAATTTCATGAGAGATTAGGACCCATCCCGAAACCACAGCCGACATTTGCGAAGCAAGTTTCTAACGGTTTCCAGGGTAACGGAAATTGCCTAAAGACCGCAAATTGCCGAACACCGTAGTCGCTGTGAAATTGAAATAAAAAATTAAAATATGAGTCGAGGTGTGTGTGTTTTTTATTATACAATAATAAATTTAAAAAATAATATACTGATGCTGATCATCAAATAAGAAATATGTTTAGCAAGTGAGGACAAGTTATTTTTAAAAAAAAGGGATTCAGAACTGTTCAGTTAGATTTTAGGCTGTCCTCCGAATAACTTAACTGGTGACTTGAATTGCGGACTTCCGGCGACTCAAATTGCGGACTTCCGGCGACTACGGCCACAGCCGAGAGTATCTCCTGCGCCCCTACGGGTGGCGCGGAGCAGGGCTAAACTAGATGGCTGGGACATACGAGCAGCAGCTACCACATCTCCTGCAGCTTCCTTCATTATATTTGCTCGTGAGTCCCAGCCATCTAGTTTAGAGAG